TTCATTCTGCATATCATAAATGAAAGTCTTTAATACTCTCATTAATTCATGTCATTTGTCAGTCTTAAGTATATAATCAATAGCCTTCCTTAATATCCCAAATAACTCTGCATAAATAGCTTTACTGGAATTTGCAGTCGAATGGAAACTATGTGAATCAATACAAAGTAAGAAAAAGTGTTGAAAATTAACGACTATACTAAATCACACTACTAGTACTCAACACCATAATCACGTGATTACGAAATTTTTGATTGGCTAGTTTTTTGATTTTATTTGATCTGTTACATTACAATGCATTACATGATTTATAAAAAAAATTTTATGATATAACTGATAGCTGATAAGTTATAATTGCATAACTTTAATTTTAATGCTGTAATGCTATAATGCAAATGTGCTGCAATATATAAAGAAAGGACAAAAAAATATAGTAAAAAAGGACAATGAAAAAAACTAAGGGAAATAAAAAAAAGAAAAGATAAATGAAAAGGGTTGAGTAAACGAAAAGTGATATAAGCAAATGAAAGATAAACAAAACATGATGAAGATACATGAAAGATGAACAAAAGAGATGTGAAAGATGAATGAAAAAAATGAATAAGTAAAAATGATATAGGGAAACAAAAGATGAATGAAAGAAGATGAAGAAAAATAAAGATAACCGTAAAGGAAATGAAAAAAAAAGTGAAGAATAGTAAAATGGAATAAAAGAATTAAAAGGGAAATAAAATTTAACAAGAGAAACAAAGGGGAATAAAGAGAAGCAAAGAGAAAATAAAAAAAAACAATGAAAAAAATGAAGGGGAAATAAAAACAATGAAAGAAAAAAGAATAAAATACCATGAGAGAGAGATGAAAAAAAATGAAAAGGAACAATAGAAGAACAAAGAAATGTAAGAGAACAAAAGGGAATAAAAAGCAATGTGAAAGCAACGAAAGGGAATGAAAAATAACAAGAAATGAAGCGAGAATAGAAAACAATAAAAGAAATAAAGGGAATAAGAACAACAAAGGGATGAAGGAAACGAAACATAAATAAAAATCGATGAAAAGAAACAAAATGAACAGAAATGGATAGATAAAAACAAAAATAATGAAGAAACAAATAAAACGAAAGTAAGAAAATAAAAGTAAAGCCAGAACACCATCCATAGAAAAAGAAAAAAATAATTAATATCATTTTAACAGCGATAAAATGATAAGAGAAAAAGATGAAAAAAACTTACTCAGATTTTACTGAAATGGTACACATTCAAAAAAGAAACAAAGGTTAATAAAAGAACAGAAAAAAGAACAAAAAGAAAAACAAAAAAAAAGAAAAAGAAAAGAAAGTAAGATTCACCTTAAATATTTGCTGAAATGAAAACTAAAAATAGCCATGCCTAAAAAAAAGAACAAGCAAGTTTAATGAATGAAAGAAAGGAAAATAGAAGCAAAAAAAAACTTACCTATAACCTAATCCCAAAGCTTAAAGATGGTCATGTCTAAAAAAACCTAATATTTATTTATTTATTTATTTTCTGTTAAGGTCAGAAAAACTAGTTTTAACAGACCATTTTGTAATAAAAAAAAAAACTCCAGTCCAATAATTAGTCTGCATATTCATGCTCTAAGCCTCTAACAGACCTTCTCTAAACAGAAAAAATAATAAATTGTGTCAAAAAAAATAAACTGATCAGTAACACATAATCACGTGATGTGATGTTTACAACATCACTGGTGCATTTTATAATTTCAAAAATTAATACTATTAACACTTTGCTCTATTTCTGGATCATCTTCCATGCCACATATTTGGATAAAAAGATAACGTTGCGAGAGATCATTGGCTTGAATTTCAGTATCCAAATACCATCAGTTTAGAATCATACTTACATGAAATCTTGCATTGTGAGAATAAGTACCAACACGAAAAAAGTGTCAGCATATTAATCCTTTGTTAATTAGGAGAAGACAGGTGCACAAATGCGTTCCTTCATTAAACAGCAGAACTACATAGTGACCTGTTCCTTGCCTACCAGTTGCTCTAACGTTCTATACTTTCATGATAGATTCTAATAGAATAGTTCTAATTAATGAATGAAAGAGAATCTGCTATGTATCTTGTTTCTGTTCTCTGATCCTGATATTCATTTCTTCATCATCAGTTTCTGCCTAAAGTAAATAAAAATATGAGATATGTCAAGATTATGTAATGAAACATATAAAATACTACTTACTTCCAGTAATTGGATACTGTTCTATTAGCTGATTCCATTGGCGTTAGAATAATTCTTTGCACAAAGTGAATTTTGGCAAGTATAAAATTTTTGTTGAAATTCTTCAAACTGTTTACCTAATTTTCCTTTCAATTTTTTTCTAAAATTAAAATTGATATGAAAAATACATAAGAAATGATGGGTATTAGCATAAGAAAGATATCATTAATTTATCAGATCATTGATAGGTCAGAGTCAATATAAATAACTTCAAGTAAGACACCCGTTTCAGTAAGAAGATTATTAAGAATCCGCTGGTATGTATTGGGAATTTCGTCCTCAATAATAACACACATAATGATTTTTGTTCTAAAATTGTTATCAATTACAATTATAATGCAAAGCATTATTTGAAATCAGTTAGTGTTATATGTTGTATCAAAAATAACAACATCGTTATACTTGATATATAATTCTCTTTACATGGAAGACATCCACATAAAAGATACTAATTTCCTTGAGATGGGATCTAATTGAAGCTTTACTACCTAGAGTGGATCAGAATCCTTCAACTCTAATAATTGTTAAACCATTTGGGAAGTATCATTATTTCCTGAGTTGTTTTTTTTGACGAAATTGGTATACCACATTATACAAATTTTTCCTATGGATAGAATGATCTGGATAATCATGCTTAAACAAAGGATATATAGATTTTGAATTTATTCATCCTTGGATAACATACTTCTCTATATCTGCTAACATTTTAGAAGTTAACTTACGAAAATGCGGTGCTATTTCACAAATTGCTAGGTAAGAGGATGATTATTGTGATTGTTGTTAAATGAATTGATCTTTATAACACTACTTGTTTTTGGATAAGTTTCCAAGGGCAAAGAATCCAGCATTACGATGTTTAGTTGGATCAGAACTAACAAGTGGGTTATGAGAACTGGTAACCCTACATGTTATTTCATCTTGGTCCTTTTCACTCGTTCTTATCTTATAATCAAACCCTTCTTTTAATGCAAATTTACTTATCCAGATTTTGAAATCATCCCAACTAGAAAAAGTGAGACCAGGTTCTAAGACTTCTACCACATCATTTTGCGAAGGGTCATATTCCAGAGAGTTATCTTCCAGAAAGTCATCTTGCGAAAAGTTGGTTTGCAAAGAAGTATCAGTTTGCAAAGTGTCAGTTTGTAAGGTTTATATTGCAAAAGGTTGGTTTGCAAAAAGTTAGAAACTATTTTTGAAGACTAGATAGAAATCCGTAAGTAATATTTTGATACAACATTATCATAAAGTAACAAGCTTGAAAATGTAGGCAAAGCCAAAGGGTAATAAATAACGAACTGAATACTAACATTATTACGTGACATCTTGGCGTACTAACATCATTTATAGCATTTTGAACTTCATCATTATTTTCGTGTTCTTCATACACTTTATATGACATTTTCTACAAAATAAAATAACGAAACTATAGAATAAATAGAATGAAAGGTAAATAGAAAAGAGTTGGTCAGTAACAATCAATTCTATTGTTATTAAAGCAATTCAGTATTGTAATGTTCAATTTATACAAATAAGGTAACTACTGTCTTCTTAAAAAAAATGTGTTACCAGTTTTAGCATAGTTATCAATTTATACAAATAAGAAAATTGGGTTTATTGTAATGTTTACATGCTTTACATAATAAATATTTATTTATATCACGTGATATCAGATTTGAACACCCCGTGTAAATTTTAAAATACTCTTAAATGAAACTGCTAAAATTTGTAGCTTATGCAAAAAAAGGACAGATAAGGATCCTGATTATAATAAGTTAGAAGAATATAATGCACCAATTTCTAAAAAAAAAAATGATGATGATATATTAAATATAGGAAATCATACATCAGGAAATTTGTTTAAACGTAATTTAGTGTAATATTTTTGGAGGTGATGTAAAATTTCAATATATTACACTAAAAACGTAATATTACAAAAGTTTGCTCAATCAAGACGATCTATAGCTCATTAGAATCAGCTCATTAAGATGAATTGAATGGTAGTAAAATCACATCTTTATATTTAATAGATGACTTTCTATTAATTTAAAACTTTATTGCATACTATAGAACGTTCTATCAACTGTAGAATGCAATTTTACTACCATTCGATTCATCTTGATAAGCTGATTCCAATTAGTTATAAATCGATCAGTAGATAGTAAAATATTATTAAATTGATGTAATTATTCAAATTTAAAAGCGTAAACTTTTGTAATATTACATTTTTAGTGTAATATTTCAAAATTTTATACCACCTCCAAAATATTACACTAAATTACGCCTAAACAAATTTCCTGATATACTTATTCATTTTAATATTACTGCCCAAAACTCATTTAACAATAAAATTCAAAATCTAAAACTCAAAAACTTTATTTTTAATGAAAAAATTGGTAAATCCAAAACTTTTTTAAATTATAATTAGTTTCAGAAAAGCATAAAAACAGTTTTGACAATTAAGTTTATTGTAAAAAATAGTTTTAGATTGAATTTTGATTTAACTAAAATTTTGAAAAAATAGTTTTGGCAAGCATCCTTAATTTATTTAGAAAAGATATTTTATACAGTAAAGAAGAATTAAAACAGTTTGAATCAGATTATCAAAAAATCATAATACAATTAATTATTTCAAATGAAATAAATTTAAGTAATAAAATCAAAAAAATGTCTAGCATTCTTTACAAAAAACAAAAAGTATTAAAATAAAAAACAATTTATGATCCTAATAAATTTGAAATTATGTTAGAAGAAGCAGATGCAGATTTAATTGGTTTTTTTGATGAATTGTAAAAGAAACTAATCCTAATACAAAATCTGAAAAAACCAATAATAATAATAATAAAAAAAGCTAGTTTCTTTATGTTATTCTTTAGCTAGTATTAAGGTTGCTTGTCTAAACCTCTTCAAAATCCTACGATTAGTTTCGTCAAAATTTTACTATAGATTTATTATAGTTTCGGCAGAGTTTCGGCAGTTTCGGCATTTATAATAAGTTTTGGCAGTTTCGCCATTCTCCAAAGTTTCGCCAGTTTTTTAATATAACTTTAATATAGTTTCGGCAGAATTTCGCTTTTCGGCGAAACGCCATCTTGCCTAAACCCCTAGGTTTCGGCAAGCAACCTTAGCTAGTATTAATAACAAATATATAAATGGAATTAAAGCAGATATTGGATTATATTTAGAAACTTCTGAAGTATCAGCTTCTTCTATTGATATACTTGCAAATATAGGATTATCAGTATCTAGAAAAACAGTAAATCGACAAAAAACTTTTATTTCAGAAAATCATCAGTATACTGTAAATAACTACTGTTTACAAAATATTGAAAATATGTTTATACTTAATATTGATAATTATCATTATATTTATAGAAGAAATCAACTAACTCTATTAAAAATATATGACATTAATCATTTTGTAACAATTTTATTAAATTCAAATCCTAATATTCCTAAAATACCTTATTATGAGTTAAATAATATTCCAATTCATAATCCTAAAGATGTTGATTTTAAATTAATTATAAATTATATTAATGTTAACTTTATAAGTAAATTAGAAAAAGTTTCTTATAAAATAAATTGGAATTTCTTACTGTTCATAATTATAATAGACGTGTTTAAAATCAACAGGAATTAAGATCAATGAAAAATAATAAATTAGTAGATTTTATTTTATATCCTTTGCACAATACAAAAGATTATATTGAATTTGCAAATATTTTATTTAAGGTATTTGAAAAAATAGAACAAAAAGATTATTTTAATAACTTTATAATACCTACAATTTGTGATTGACCTGGTCAAGTCAATCTAAAAAGAGCTATTACACTACCTACTTAAAAGTTTAGGACTACCCTATATTTTGCAATTTTATAATAATTAAATGCATTTATTCAACCTAAAATGTTTTAATTAAAATTTAATAGTAATATTTATCATTAAATGTATATTTTTTTATATTTTTTTATATTATTAATATAAATATAAATTTAAGTAAATTACCAGTCTACTTTTATAATTAACAATTAATAAAAATTTTACTGTAAATAAGATTGTTAAAAAGAATAATTTTAATAAAACTACACTAGATTCAATTTCTCCTAGTTAAGAGGATCAAAATAAGCTAAAGTTTGTTGAAATTGGTGCAGTAGATAAGGAGAAATTGACTGTTTATGACTAATCATTTATATATAAAAATTAAATGTAGATCATTTTATATATGTAAAATATCCTAAAATGTCGATATTTAGCAATCAATTTCTCCTTACTATCTACTGCACCGATTTCAACAAACTTTAGCTTATTTTGATCCTCTTAACTAGGAGAAATTGAATCTGGTGTAGTTTTATTAAAATTATTTTTCTTACCAATCTTATTTACAGTCAAATTTTTATTAATTGTTAATTATGAAAGTAGACTGGTAATTTACTCAAATTTATATTTATATTAATAATATAAAAAAATATAAAAAAATGTACATTTAATGTTAAATATTACTATTAAATTTTAATTGAAACATTTTAAGTTAAATAAATGCATTTAATTATTATAAAATTGCAAAATATAGGGTGGTCCTAAACTTTTGAAAAATTCTGGAATTTCACCTTAAATACTAAGTATAATTCCTATGATTAGTCCACTACATATTTCTTTAAATAGTAAAGAAACATTATTTCAAAAATATCTCTTCTTTTTTGAAATGATATATCATGATCTCTTTGGAATTAACAAGATTTTAGCACAAAAACCAAAGCCAAGACTTATTAATCTTATATTAAATTTAACTTATTATGGATGAAAAAATATTTGTAATTTAATTGTTAACTGTTTTAGAAATATAAAAAATATTGAATATTTAATGATGATAGATTTATTAAACAATTCTTTACCACTTACTTTAGATATATATATTAAACTTTTCAGATGTGGATTTTTTAGAAAGTATTATAAAAATTTGGATTTTATTTCAAAGATTATATAGACATAATTATAATAAAGCACCACTTATATTTTTAAGTGATGTGTTTTATTGGACATTAAATAATTATCCAATACTAAATATTTTAAAAAATAATTTACCAATTTTTAATGATTATTTTGTTAAAAATTTTCATAGTTCTCTTAAATATCAAACAGCTGAATCAAATACTAATAAACAAATTATACAAAAAGCAAAAACTATTAATCTTGAAAGAAACGATAATAGATTTAAAAACACTTTTGTTAATACAAGAGATGTAAATATTTTAAAGGTTAAATTAATATCTTTAGAGAAAAAAGTTTTATTATTCTTATTATTTCTTTTTGACAAAATTTATCATAATATTGGAAAATCAAATAATAGTAACAATTAGAGTTTAGAATCGGTTGCACTAACTGGTTTAAAAATCAGTTTCAACCGATTTTTTGGCAATTCAGTTTGACCTGAATTCATATTCTAAAACTAAAACAGGTGCAACTGGATTTCCAACTCGGTTTGATATTGAAACTTTATAGTGCTGGCCTGAATTACGAATTAAAATCACGTGACCACAGCTAAATAGTTTAACCACTAGGTAAATTATATTACACAAAATTTTATTACAAATAATTTTGTCCCACAAAATTTCATAATGTATTACACAAGGGTTATAATTCTGGCCAGAATTATAACTTGGCCAGATTTATACTAATCACATTTAATTCTGGCCGGAATTATCAAATATATATAATTCGGTTATTTAATTTCAATTGGGTTTTGCAAAATCGATTTGAAATGGATCGAACTGGTTGCATCCGTTTTAAATTCAGTTTTTGAAAATAGAACCAGTTCCAAACTCCAGTAACAATAATATATTTAAACTTCCAAATTTTAACAATAGAAATGTAGAATAAGTACAAAAAAATTTTTTTCATATATGTATAAATTTAAATTTTATATAAAATTTTTATAAAAAATAAAAAATCCAGTAATTTAATATAGGTTTATATATAACTTTATAAATATTCATACTTAACTTGATAAAATTAAATACTTAATAATTCTATATCTGCAGAACAACTTTATTTAACCCTTAAATATGTGTTTACTTTGAATAAGCTGTTGTAATTATATTAATAAAGTTAAAAAATAAGCACGCACTGTAATTTTTACTATAAAAACTCAGTTTATTGTTAAAGCATAAATGATAAATAAATAAAATCAACGTGTGATGTAAGGGGGAATAGGATAAGTAACATATATCCTAGAAACAGGTTAAGATTCCTCCACTGGGATGTTAGATCGATATATTTACCATAGTAACACTACCAATTTTATAATTAAAATTCACTCTCATGTAACCAGTGACATTTAAGAGATTATGAAAAAAATAATTTTGGAAGGCAAAAAAACTAAGTCCCTCAAATAAATATAAATAGTGAAAACGTGGTAGGGTGTGGGTCATGTGGAGGTAAAAAATTTAGTGGTATTACTGGGGAAGATGATCGCAGAGACCCAGATTTATTCTGATATTAAATCACAAATTTTTATCATGATAATGGAAAAAATTCTGATTTTATTCTAATAAAAAATTACCAATTATAGTAAGAAACATTTAATAATTCTAGCCGGCTTACATCTTAATGCAGGCCAACTTAGGTTATGCTAGTAACATGACAATGATTTTAGCCAAAAACTGTATAGATATTGCAAAATTGCAAAATCACATTTTTTTATGATTTTTAACAATTTTATTCCGACACGTGACAACTAGCCAATCATTATTGCATATTTTATTGACTATATCGTGATAGAAGTTTCATTTTATTCCATAATACAGCAAAAATTCCGATATATTCATTTATTATAAAAATGGAATTTTCCCGGGTCTCTGGATGATCGATACACACAAGTCACGTGGGGGTGGGAAATTTGATAAAAAGGCACGAGTGACGTAAATATATAATTAGAGGAAAACAAACAGTTTTTCATACCTATGGCTAATGGCTTTTCGTGGTTATGGAAAACCAAAAACAATTTAGTTTTAAACCTATATCTAAAAATGAAACTTTCCTTCTATCATATGACGAAATGCAGGATAAACTTAGCGAACTAGATTCTGTAAGCTTTTCTAGAGCTCGAAAAAGAAGGGAAAGCGCCGCAATTTTTGATAGATTAAATGAAGGTTTGTAATTTGAATTTGCTTAATCTTTTATTTTATCCTGCCTTATTTTTAATGTATTTTATGAATAAAAATAGACACTAGTATAAATTTGTTGAATGACCCACTTGAATTACGGACATTTGAAGAGGAAGACGTCTTTGAGTTTCTGCCTAAAGAGATTCCTACGCCTGAAGTGAAATTTATTAATTACAAGTATGTTCTATTTTAATGGACTATTTTTTTTAATTATTATATTTGTTTTTTCTTTTAACAAAAATGTAGCCCTATAGGAAAGGACGAGGAAATTACGTGTTCCACTTCGCAAAATGACGATGTAAACGCGTCACAGAAGTATTTAAGCATTTCTTCGAATACTTCGGAAAATATACGTGAAATGCCAAAAAATACATATTTTTCCTTGAATGATGAATATCAGCAAAACGCGCAAGGTATCAATTTATTCACAATATTTGAAATTGGATCATAATATATTTACATGTTTGATATTAATTATCAATTTAGATATAAATAATTCTCTCAATAATGAAACAAGACGAAATGCCTCTACTCTACAAAAACGGTCAAATCAAGGTTTGGCATCAACCGATAACACAAACGACGAATCACTGCTTATTGAACAACGTGCACGAACTACTTTGAACCAGTTTAAAGAAGTGATGTCTAAATTTAAAATGACAAATGTTAATGCGCAACCACTACCCGTTAAATCTGCTTCAAAACCGGAGTTGGTGGCAAACTTGTCTCATATAAAATGTCCGGATGATGTTGTATGTTTGGTTAACCATCATTTGTATTCTCCGATCGGAATACATAGGACTTATCCTGCGCAAGAAATTAAAATACGAGAGCAACTCAACATTGATGTTAATGATAATGATTCACCATTAAGGGAACATGCTACAAAAGAATTTGACCAATCTAGACTTTTTACAAGATATGAGAAACGAGAACTCTCAATTCAAAAAAATGAAATAACAAAGGTATCTATGGATTTTCAACAGCCAGTACTTTTGGGAAATATATCTAGGGAATCAACCATTGATAAAGGGATGATTCTAAGATGTGAAAACAAATTTAGTTTGGATTCTTTGATTCATTCCCAAAAGCCTGAGAATAATTCAAAAAATAAAGGAATGACATCAAAAGCTTTATATAAATCTGTTTCAATATCAAATAACGAAAAGCAAAGAAATATGAAACCAAATAATGAATCATCAACTGAAAATTTAGATGAAAGAAATGAATTTCGAAAAAGAAAGAATGAAAAGCCTTTATCACCACATTTGAGTTATATAAACGATTCAAGTAAGATAGTCTACATAATTAAATTCGGTAATTTGAAATCAATAATTTTACATTTCCCTTTCGTTTCAGATAAAATTCAAGCCATATCAGGCATATCTACAGCAGCCAAAAAAGTGAAGAAGACTCAACCATCAAATTTGAGAGCACCAACTTCCATCTCACGTTTGAAAAAGAAAGTTGGCTCTTTGAATAGCTCAAATATGGATGGTTTTAAAGCCTCAACTAATTCACAATTGCGTCGAACCTCTAATACTAAACAATGGAAATAAGTTTATTGTGAATGAGTTTAGTTAACATAAAATGGGATGTTATTGCTATACACTTTCTCTGACTATTTATAGGGTTAATATTCAATTCGTTAACTCGTTAACCATTTGCAATTGATTAAAAAATAATACGTATTTTTACGACAAAATTCTGTAGAAATTCTTGAACCTATGCTCGACTAGTAACAATTAAAAATCCTAAAAAGAATCATTTTATGGCACAAATTTAAGCATTTTTTTGGTTAAAGTTAATATTATTTATATAAAAATTGAAGAAATAATTACCCATTACGGACCGAGTTCATAATTTCTTTTTTATCTTATCAGGTTTTTGCACTGCCTTCTTGTCTCCTAGATGACAATGAACCAACAACTAAGGCGAAAACCAGTGGTATATTATCGTCCACATATGTGGTATGAGATATACGTATATACACCACAGTTTATCTTTGTTTATTTATATATATCAATCACTGCGCATGTAATAAAATTTAAGGGCAAATTTTTCTTATATTAAAAATTATGGTGCCGACGTGCTGTATAGTTATTAATTATATACGCCCTGTTCGTATCGATCGGATCGGAAAAAAAATTAACCAGTCAAACTACAGTGCACAATTTGTATAGCTCGATCGGATCATATCATAAACAATAAATATGGTTTGTCACTAGGCCAGTTCATAATTGATTGAACGGGATATTTGGTCGGTTGCACTAAAAATTCAGACCAATAAATTTAACTGTAGAATGATCAACTGACCGTTCAACGTGAACCACCAAAAACGTAGGTCGTTTTGGTCGAGTAGACAAAAATACTGACAAAAATAAACAAAGCCATAACTATTGGTTGCCTTATGTTTATCAATCAAACCAACTCAAAATTGAACTTTGATCATGAGATTAGTGTAACATGACCAAAAAAGCCGATCGAACAATTATGAACTGGCCTACTGGCATGCGTCAGTCGCGTTATTTTCGAATCCATAATTCTGACCAAATTTTGCTTAATTGAATAAATTTTTAAATAAACCCAAAATCTAAAAAGAAAAATTTCCTTTTTTTCATTATATTTGTATAATAGTATTATAAATTCTTTATTATTTCAATAATTTTAATTACAAAACAAACTATTTTCTAATTTAAAGAACAATCTGAATATTAAAAAAAGATGAATTAAATAGGAATTTAATATTAAAATATAATTAGACAAAAGTGGATTTACTAAAAATAATGAAAATTTTGTAATTTTTTTTAATTTAAAATAAATATATTATTCAAAAAATAATAAATAAATTTGGGTATTACTTAGGGGATGGCCAGAAATGACGTAATTTAAATTTTAGGATTTTTGACCCCCCTCCTTATGTCATCATTCATTTTAGGAAATGTAAAATTAAAACACAATTCTGGCTAGAATTATATTAACTACAAGTGTCTAAAATGGAAGATGTGTAACATCATCATGGTCTTAATTCCCCTCCCCCCCTAAGGAAATAACATCATTTCTGGCCATCCCCTTATCACCATATGTAAAATATTTTTGAATTTTTAAAAATTTTTGACTGAGATATTATTCTTATTATAATATAAATATCATTACTATTTGCTAATTTATAAGTAGAACAAGTTTCCCTTAAATTATAAAGGCTGTTGTTTAAATAGTTTTTGAGAAAAACAGGAAAGTTTAATTTTATAAGTAAAATACAATTTTTTGTTTTAAAAAAGATTTTTTTTAGTCAAATTTTCAAAATTTTAGTGTGACTAGTATTTACTCAGATTTGTTTTACACATTTATTATTTAAATTGAAATTTTTTAAAAAAATTTATAATGTGTTTTTTAATTTTAGCCAAAATTATAATTTTAAATTTTATCATTATTTCATATTAAATTCAATAATAAACAAAAATCTTATTGGTGATTGAAAAGTTACACCTAAAAATAAAATATTTATTATTAATTAAAGGATTCTTATTAAAATTTTATTTCTTTTTTTATTAAAAAATCAATTTTTTTGTGTTTATGCAAAAACTACCTGAATAACTATTATTAAGCCCTTAGAAAATCTCAAACTTTTAAAAGGATTTCAAAAAAAGTTTATTTTTTAATATAAATTTCAGAAATTAGTAAAGTATATAATGTTTTATCAAATTACTTAGTAATTTCTATAGAAATTTATACATATTTAAAAAAAACCCTAACTCTAATTCTAATCCTATATCATAAAATAAAATAATTCAAATATAATTACACAAATTTTCTTTAGTATAAAAATGATTTTATATTACATGTATGATGATTAATATATATTAATATTTGAAATGTATAGTAAAAAAAAAAACTTTATATTTATCTATTTTATTTGTTTATTTTTAAAAAACTATTATAGCTTTAATTTATTATAAAATATTTTTCTCTTTTTAAAATTTATAAATAAAAAAAATAGGATTAATTTTACATTCACCTCCGGTGAATTTCACCAGGATGAATTTTGCTATGATTTGCATTATGCATAAATTTAATAAATTTTATGGTGAAATTCACCGTAGGTGAATTTCACCTTGATTTTCATAAATTTTTTAAAATGGTTTCCCCTGAATATACCAAGACGCCACTTTTCTCATTTTGTTATTTTTTTAAAGAAAATCCTTCTTTCTTAATAATAAATAACTTTGAATAGTTAGTTTCTTTAATAATAATATGGAATTTAATGCTTTTTGTTCTGATTATCATAATAATAATTATGAGACAAGTGCTTTTATTTCAACATATTCTGAACCTTTTAATGATAATTTTACCAATATAAACCTTTCACTATATTCCGAACCTTTTAATATAAACTTTTTGCCATCATCTTTGGAACTTTCTGAGCCACTTTTTGTATCACCTGTATTACCATTTGTATCACCTGTTGAACCACTTTTAACTTCAGATGATAATTTTACAGATATAGAAACTTCGTTACCTTTAGAACCATCTTTTGGTAATAGTAATTATCAATATAATTTGGCTGTAGGAGATTCTTTTGATGATTGGTTATTAGTTGATACATTTATGCATCAATATTGCTTAGAACGTGGTTTTGGATATCAAATTTTCTGTAATGATAAAGATCCTAATGATTCAACTATTATCAGACGTAAATCATTTCGTTGTTCATCAAGTGGTAATTATGAACCTAGAAAATTTATGGATCAAAAATTACATCGGTTACTTGGTACGATTAAAACCAATTGTGAATGGCATGTTAACTTTACATTTCCTAAATCTGCACATCAAATAGGGTGCACAACATTAAAAGATGTGCATAATCATGAGGTAAATCCTGCACAAATATCTCATATTATTGCTAGATATAGACGTCTTGATAGTGAAATGATTCAAGATTTAAAGTTTTTTTCAGATTGTAAGGTTGCGCCAATTACACAATTAGAGATACTTAAAAAAAAGTATCCAGAACATGTATTTCACAAGCAAGACGTTTATAATGCAATTTATAAATTGCGTCAAAGTAATAGAGATGAAAAACTGGACTCAGTTTTATTTCTTAATGTACTTTTAGAAAAAATGATTCAAGACCCACGTTTGAAGATTTATATTATACATTCTGGTAATGAATGTCGTTTATCAGGCATCTTTTGGATGTCTCCCTCTCAACAAGAATTATATCAACGATTTTCTGATGTAGTATTAAACGATAATACTTGTAAGACCAATAAATACAATATGTATTTGAGTGTGTTAATTGTAAAAGACAACTATGTACGATTTCGAAATATAGCAAATGCACTAGTGGAAGACTAAATGGCATCTACATACACATGGATTTTGCAATGTTTAATGAAAGCTACTGATAATATTGCGCCAAAAGCATTTTGGACAGATTCAGAGCCAGGATTAATTAATGCAGCTTCTCAAATTTTTCCTACAACGCCACATTTTTATTGTTTATTTCATATTTGGCAAAATATAATTAAGAATCTTAAATCAAAATTAGGATTAAGATTTCATGCTTTCAGTAAGGCTTTTTATTCATGTAGAAACGTACTAAGCATAGAATTATTTGAGCAACGTTGGGCATTTATGATAAATGAATTTCCAGAGTGTGAACGCTATATGACTAGGGCATTATATGGTAATAGAATCAGTTGGGCTAAAGCTTATATGCCATTCCAGTTTAATGGTGGTATACAAAGTACCCAAAGTGTATAATCTTTTAATGGTTTTATTAAAAGGTCTTTAAATTCAGCAAGTACTCTTTGTGATATTGCAGAAACAATTGATAAAAGACATCAGGAGGAGTTTAAGTACTGTCAATTAACAGATATTAAGGCGAAATATACACCAATTGGATTACCACATCTTTCATCTCAATTTTTTTCAAGTGTTGATGCAATTATTGTGAAATTTTTATCACCTTTTATATTATCTTTACAACGATATCAAATTTCACAATCTTTTACATATGAAGGACAGTTAACATCATACTTATTTGAGGTATGTTAATAACACGTTGAATTAGTTTGTTAATAAGTTGAGATAGAGTTTAACATAAATTTTTGTTATAGAATTTACAAGCTGAAACCATTGATGATAATTTCATAGAAGAAGTGGTAGATGAACCACAAATAACATTGAAGGTTATACTTGATGGTATAGATACGTCAAATATTATTGAAGTATGGAGAATTATTAGAATAGGAGGTATTTCTAGTAAAGAAAATCTGGTGGCTTTTTTTAGTGAGTGGGACTCATATTTGTACGTGTATGGAATCTATTACAAAAGGAATTATTTGCCATCACTTTTGGCGAGTAATGCTTTATTCAAGTACTGCAAGATTCCATATTAGTATTATACCTATCAGATGGTATAAAGATGAAATTTTAATGAAATTAGATGATATTCTTGATAATTCACCAGTACTTACAGCATTAGAGTCATCTACTGAAGTTAATACAACATCACGAACAGTAGATTTTACTCTTCAAAGTCTAAGACAACTTCAAGGATCTTGTCATAAAGAAAATGCTCAGAGAATTATTCCTCAAAGATATCGTTTTGGCGTAGCATTTTCAACTGCTAAAACTGCAATTAATATTGCATTAGAAACTGGAAGTGATACTGAATTAGTAAAATTATTAAAAGATTTCATTTTGAATAAGCAAAGGAGTCGTGATGGTGATGGTATTGAATCATAAATTATTAATGTAGTTGTGGAAAGTAATAGTCAAATTGTTTCCTTACAGGAGAATTTGATTAATCAAACTACAAATCCATATGTTACTAAAATTCGAGGAGCTCCAAGTAAAAAAAGAATAAAAAGTGCTATAGAGATTTCAGGAAGGAGTGTGATACATGACATTACAAGTCAAACTAATATTCAACAAAGTAATGATGGTGATATAACGTCAAGATCACAACGAAAATGCAGTCTTTGTGGAAAACCAGGTCATTATCAGAAAAGATGTCCAAATGGTAGAGAGTAGATGCGAAATCAACATATGATATAGTGTAAGTTTGTTAGATTATTTGATTATCCAATAGTTGTTATAGTAATTTATATATGCGCATTACTAATTAATTATTGAATTGCGTTACGTATTACTTAATTAGAGCGAACGCAAAATTGTACAATGTTGTGATACGTTTTTTAGGGGGAATTAAAAAGGTGGGTGGGAGGTTTGGGAGGTTTGGGGAAAAAAATAAAGTCTTTTCCGAATAATTTTTTTTTAATTGATTACTTCTAATGAAACTTGATCAATTTTTACTCAATAATTATAATAAAATATTCATTAGAAAGGGGAGAAAATTTTACATATTTTTATTCATTTTTATTGTACTTTTTATTGTATTTTTAATTACATAATATCATGTTAAAAATTGTACTTTTTTTAAAAACGAATTTTAATATAATAATTATAAATCACGTGATATGGTAAAATTCACCTCCGGTGAATTTCACCTCCGGTGAGCATTAAAATGATCCAAAAAAATATATTAAAATTATAATTAAATCTTAGTTAATAAATTTTATTTATTAATTGCCGATCTGCATGTAATCAATAGAATTTACATAGTAAAATGCAGTGTTATATTAATTAATAAAAAAAATGCTGTTTGAAATCTATGTTTCCAGGACCCTCTTACTTCTAATAGAGATCACCCACAAGCCTAAGGTAAAAATTACATAGAAAAGTCAAAAAAACTGGTTGAATTCATAAGGTAAAATTCTTTATAAATTAAAAAAAGTAAATGTAATTCCATGGTAAATTTTTTTTATGTAACTGTTAAGTAT